TGTGATTGCGTATAACCGTGGGAGAGTAGAAATGAGGTTAGTTGGGTGATGTAGACGTTGGCTGCAGGCGGGGTGCCGTAGAGATTACCGATGAGGATACCATGGCGGCCGGGGTGTTTGTAGGATCCGTCGAATTTGAGGTGTTGGCGGATATAAACTGGCTGATCGTGTTGGTATTTCTCGTGGAGGTAGGCTGCAGTGATGTCAAGGGTTTCAGTGGGCTAGTTGAATGCGGCGGCAATGGCAAGAACGGCACGTATTGTGGCAGGGTCCGCCATGTATGAAGTAGTTTGCTCTGGATTGTAGTGTTTGTGTGGTGTCATACAATCGTCTCTGACGGCACAGCGAGCTTTCCGAGATTGTATGCTGCCGTCGTCATGGCGTTTGTACTTGTACGTCATCATCAGGGGAATTAGTTGCGCATTATCTGGGATCTGTGATTTCGGTATCCATTTGATGGTGCGGTTTTGGTGCGGAAGGTTCCACAGGTGTCAGAGCTTATGTGTGCACCTGCCGCATAGTTGTGGGGCTTTCGTGGGTGTGGGCGGGGTTTCTGTTTTGCCGGAGGGCAGGCGGAGCAGGTGAGTGTTGGTGGTGTCGTTTGGAGGGTTGGTGGGAGTATGGGGATGGTCTTGGCTTTTGCCATTAGTTGGATAGTGCGCGGGTCCAGATGGTTAAGTTTCATATGCCAATCATGGAAAGTGAGTTCGTGGGTGGTGTTAGGTTTCGGCGGCGTCGGGTTGTGGTAGTGGGATAGGTGAGGAGGGTGTATGCGGTTCGGTGTGGGTATGGTGGCGGTGGGCGTTCTCGGAGGGATTGAGGGTGTTGGTTGCGTGGTGATGGGTGGTGGAGTTTGTATTGTTGTTGTGGTGTTCTTGCGTTTGGGAGTGGTGGTGCCGGTTTTGAATCGTGTGTGTGCTTGACGGTGATGTGTTCGTGCGGTGAATGCCGTGGGATGGGTGTTGTGTTCCGCGTGGAACGCGTAGCTACCCTGTTGCCAGGGAGCTTGCGCAATAATGTCGGGTTGCTTTTTGTCTTTAACATTGATTACGTAACCACTGTGCTGGGTGAATATTACCATTCCATAGCTTTTGGCGAGGTCGTGGACGGAAAGGAGATTGTGTCTAATTTGAGGTGTGGTAATGGCCGGTAGGGTGATGGTGGCGGCTGTGTTAGGTGTAGTGGGGCGGATCTGCAGCTGTCCGGAATGTGTGGCAGGGAGCGATTGGTTGGACGCAGTGCGGGTGTAGAGGGGCTGCGGTAGCGGGGGCATTGTGGAAGTGGGGTGAGTGGTGTGTGTAGGGTTGGCAGCGGAGTCAAGTATGAACGTACTGATGTCGGGGCTGTTGTCGGATTCTGCATCGTTCATGTTGGGTGTGGGTTGTGTCTCTTGGAATGCATCGAGACGGGCGTGGGTGAAGTGCACTTGTGGTCGAGGCTTGAAGGATCTTTGCGGTGTCCTGTGGGCTTGTGGGGTAGTGCGGTGGCGTGGGTGTGCCGGGTGATTGCACTCTGCGTCTGAGTGCTGAGGGCGGGTGCCGCGCGCGACGTGGAATTGACATGGATTGGGGTGGGGTGGGAGGGGTGTACGATTCCAGGTGCGGGGTTGGCGGCATGATTGAGGTTGGTACGGTGCGTGTAGCTGTGGGGATGGGTACGTTGGAGGCCCGTGCTGCATGCCTTGCGGTGATGTGATGATCGGTTGGGTGGTGTTATTTTAGTTTTGGAGTCGGATGTATTTGTGTAGGTAGTCTTTGACTGTTGAGGGGTTGAGGCTGAGCAGCTGTCGGCCAATTTCGGCAGTCATGGGGTGGTGGCGCATGCCATCGATTAAAAATTCCACGGTCGTGGCTTGGTTGCTGATGTCGGGGTAACGGGATGCGATCATTTTAGATCTGATGGCTTCGTGTGCGGTGATATACCCGTTGATCGACATGTCGGGGGTGAGTATTGTGGCTTCAGCTTGGGCTCTTAGAAATTTATGGTCGTTGGACGTGTTGGTGAGGAGGTGGGCATGAATGGCTTGGAGTAAGTCGTGGGGAGAGGGATCGGAATCAGGCTGAATGATGAGATTGAGGATGGATGTCGGGACTGAGGAGAGAATCGATGCGAGAATAATGTTCTTGTGTCGAATATGCGCTTTAAGGAGGGCAGGATCGGTTGGAGGAGTCGGATTGGACTTAATGTGTTCTAGTGCATCCATGGCTGCGGCTTGGGCACGGAGTGCTAGATTCCACGTGTTATGGTTGTCGGGGTCAAGGGTGGGAAGTTGTATTTTCGGGATATGGTCCATGGTGTGTGTTGTTGTGTCTGAGGGGGTGTGTTTGTCTGATTGTGTGAGTTGGGCGAGTCGGAGTAGCTCTTGGATGGAAGCTTGTGCTTCTGCTTGATCGTGGCCCCGGCGGAGGCGGAGGAGTCTGTCGGTAGGGGGCGTCGTGGTGGCTGTTTGGGAATGGAGCTTTAGGCGTCGGAGGCTGCGTGGGTGGTAAGAAAGTGAGGTGAGCGTGGTCGATAGGTTGATGGTAGGTGTGCTGGAAAGGCGAGGACGTCGGTTGGTAAAGAGGAAGGTGATCGCGAGCGTATGGGCGCATAACCTGTAGGAACGATGACTCCTTTTACCTCCTGTGTTGGGTTCCACTACATGCTACTTATACTGATTCCATTGGATGTACACGTGTGCGGTCTATCAGGGACCGACCGGGCCGCTCGCGTACGGTGCGCTCTCCTTAATTGCACCGGCAGCGCGCGCTCCCGACAGCGAACGGCGTGCCCTCTCCTTAATTGCGCCGGCGGCGCGCGCGCCCGACAGCGAACGGCATGCCTCTCTCTTCCCCACCCACCCACTACCTTCTGCATACGTTCGACCAGCCACTCTCTTCAGTGGATTCTACTTTACGGGTCCTTGTCTACTTTACGAGCGGTCCTGGCCGATTAAGGTGATTCCTTATCCGCTCAGGCCCACTCTGTCAATAAACAAACACTTTCACTTCAGAAAAATTTAAGGATGTGCCCGACGATCTTTCAGAGCTTCTGATTGGTCCGATCCAGATGCTCATCAGACGATTATGGCCATTTATTTCGGTGATCCGTTACAGTTTTGACCAATCACGTGGTCGAGCGAAGCACAGTCTTATGGGTGTTCCCGATGCGCCACATCCCCTTAGGACAGTGGGCACAGTGTTTTACACGGCCAAGTCCAGAGTCACGTTGAGGCAAACAGCAGCGGGTTTGGCTCTGCAACCTTCTGAGAAGCAAGCGTGACATGGCAGACACGCGCGCCGATGAGCCGAACGACCCGGAGTTCATCGCTATGGCGCCACTCGAGCCGGCAGAGGACGTTCCAGACGCAGTCCTTGCGGAGCAACTGCTGTCCTTCGGGGGCATTCTGTTCCCTGAGCTGCAACACTGGCGCGATGACTCGCAAAAGCGGTATGTTTTAAGCGCCGCGCGAGGCCATAACATTCTGGCGCAGCTTCCAACGGGACACGGAAAGTCGGTGCTGGCCATTGTCCCGGCCTTGACGAGAGGGGTCCTCACGTTGTTTGTGGCTCCGACGCTGTCGCTTGTCGATGATTTCTACGCCAAATGCGTTTCTCGGCAGATACTGCCTCCCGACTAACTGTGCAGTCGCAGTACGACGAGCAGGCTATCTGCGGTGAAGCGGTCGTGCACTGTCAGGGCTGTGTTGTGTTGACGACTCCCGAGAAGGCCTGCTCGGGGCAAATGAAGTCGCTTCTTGAGAAGGTTCATGTTAGGCGAGTTGTTATCGATGAGGCACATTGCGGGGTTGCGGACAGGGAGTGGCGGTCGGGTTACATGAGGCTCGCGGGTTGGCTTGGGCCATTCATCAAGAAGAAGATGGTGTCTGTGACGTTCATGTCGGCAACCCTGCCTGGTGACTTTCTCTCGCGCGCGTCCGAGGAACTAGACGTTCCGAGAGAGTGGTGGACTGTTCTGATGAGCAGGGTGTCCCGACCATGCCTGCGCTTGGAGGTTGAGTCAAATGTCCGAGTGACAGGAGCTGCAAAGCGTATCGCCGAGCTATTGCAGGCTACACCGGAGGCTCAATGCGCAATTGTGTTTTGCCGGCCGCCGTCGCAGTGCGACAACGTGTGCGAAAGTCTTCGGAAGTTGGGAAGTGTCGCTGCGCGTGCTGGTAACCGCCTCTGCAATGTCTACTACAGCGCCCTTCCTATGGAGACAAGGCGCCGAAAGCTGCGAAAGTGGCTCAGCGGAGAGGTTCGATGCCTCATTGGCACCACGTCAATCGCGATGGGAATCGATCATCCGAGTATTGGCTTAGTCGTTCACTACGGGTTGCCCGATTCGGCAACGTCTTATGCACAGCACGTCGGACGTGCCGCTCGCAGAGCAGGACAAACAGCTCGATGCGTGCTTATGTGCTCACCTCTGGCGGACATGTCGGGCTGGGCCACGCTGTCCAGTCTGCATAGCCCCGGGCAGCCCGCTTCTGGAGCCGCGGCAGTAGACATCGGTGGGCGGGCAGAGCCCGATGATGCCTCCATTGGGATAGCAGCATGGGCTGAAATCGAGTTTGTCAGGCAGGACATGGAGGACCGAAGGAGGTTCTATAGGGGCCTGGCCGCAATGGCTCTCATGGCTCGACGTGCACAGCTGGGTGCATGCATGCGGCGTCTGCTTGGTCTGGCTTTTGTGCGGTATGAAGATTGGGATGCTGAAAGTGATTGCGGAGACTGCGTCGCGTGCACCGGCGCCGTGGGGGGC